TTGTTATATTGGAAGAATTTAAAACTTTTGATTTCTATACATATTTTATCATATACCCTTATTTTGAGCTAGTCCCAAGCGACTATTATTATATACTTTTCTATAAATTAATTTAACGATTTTTGTTTACGGTTCTTTTGAGTTTAAATGTAGAAACCCTCATATATTGCAGTGCTTCTAAATTTACCTTCAAAAAAATAAAATAATATTATTTTTAAAATAAAAGGAAAAAAAAAATGATTTGTCATATTTATATCATAGTTATCTCTGCATGAGGAATGCATTAAAACCTTTGCATCAGTTGTCAAAGGCTCACCTTCAGGCTCACAACGTGGAAGAGTAGTTTTTAGACAGACCCAAATGTAAGATAAGTGAAGTCAATTTAGGATCCAACATTGTCCCCTCTATCGGTTTTATCATTTATTGCATGCCAATAATTATACGAATCTGTTGTTGAATTTGATTTTCTCTGATAATGAACTTAAATTACATGTGCTTCTTATAATTAGATGACAAATTAGAGCTCAATTCAAACTAACACTAAACTATAGAAACTTGATTCAAAAATTAAGATAAACTATAATAACTTGTGAAATAGTTTTTTTTAATTTTATTTTTGACTTTGAAAGAAAAAGAATTGATTAAACATGCACACAAACACATACAAACAATGTACCATCTTGATTTTAGACTCCAATAAATTAATTCTAACTATATATGGACTGCATTAATGTACACAACACACTATGCATTTTAATCACAAATATTCATTTTTAAAAATCATTTAGGAGAGCACTACAAGCATGGTGCTATTAGGCGAAGCGGCGAAGTGCTGTTCTTTGCTAAATTAGTAAATTTATCTTCGTTAGGCGAAGTGCCGTGCTATCTTCTTTTTCTTCCTTTTGTTATATTAGGAGAGGGTTTGATTTCACATCATGCCATGAACCATCATACTTGCCTGATCTTATTTATAAGTTTTGGGAGAGGAAGTTATCGTCACATTTATAAATCGCATCATTTAATTTTTTTTAATTTAAATATATAGTTTTATCTTTCATTTATTTTTGTGAAGATTAGTTTTTTTGAACTATATATATTAATTTTGGAAAATTTGAAGATTTCAGAAAAAGATTAATAAAATTTAATTTTTCCTTGATTTTAATATAATAAAACATATATTAAAAGTAATTTATAAATAGAATAGAAAAATAAATCATATACCCTTACTTTAACTAGCCCCACATTACCATGTTCTATACTTTTGTGAAGAATTGATGATTTAATCAAATGATGGATTAATTGTTTCTAAATGTTTTTCCTTGAGTTTAGATGTAGAGTATTTCTTATATATTGCAGTGCTTTTGAAAGTCCCTTCAAAAAATTATAATAAAAATATAATATTTTAACAAAAAGTGATTTCCATATTCACATCAGGGTTATCTGCATGAGGAATTCATCCACTCCATGCATTAATTGTCAAGGTTGACCTACATGCTTAGACAGCTACTTTTATATTGAATACTCTCATGAGATCCCATTTATAGCGCAGAAAGAGAAGAAATTTTTTTTTATCAAATTCATAAGTCACATCATTAAAATTTTTATAAGATGTATAATTTTACCTTTCATTAATTATTATATTGACTTTGTTCTCATAGGATATAATATATATAAAATAAATATAAAGTCAAAAAGTTATTAAATTTTTAAGGTAGAATTGATGAAGTTTAAGAGTTTTCTTAATCTATGTAAAATATACTGGAAATAAATTATAAATAAGACCATATGATCGAATACCTTAATTTTGCTGAATCTAGGATTTTTATTTTCCATTTTAATATATTGTCTAGATACATATATGTTTTAGACCTTTTTAGTGCTGCCAATATTAATTATATATGGTGTGATTTATTTTCATTCCATTCAATAACTCAAGGGATACAGCATTCTTAAATCAAAATTATCTTCTTCAATCATATACAATTAGTCAAAATTACTGGCAAAAAAAAAAAGTTATAATTGGATTTTTGCTTCTTTTTTTGACTAGAGCATAGGTATTCTTCTATTCGAGGTACTATCAAGCACTAAATGTGGGCACCTCTCTCAGTGGAGATTTGAATATTAGTTCGTCACGTTATGAAGGACTAGTCTTTTCGTTTAGACCCAACTCTTATTGGTGTTTTTGAGGCCCAAAAGCTCACAATGCTCACTCAAACCCACTAAAATTATACCTAGTCCAACCCTAAAAAAACAACCCAAAAAATAGTTGGCCATTTTGGGCTAGGCCAAATGTTGAGCAGGGCAAGCATCGGGCATTTGGTCCTACCCAAGATTTATATATATATAATTCTATTTAATATATAATATACATATATTCATTATATGTAATTGTATTTAATATATATACATAATATACATATTCGGTAGAATTAAATATTTCAATGCTTAAGTTGTTGACATAGTTGATCATGGATTTTGTATGAAGACCTATCAAGTTGTACGTGTTGATTATGTAATTATAAGGAAATATGAAATGATAGATGTGTGGATTTGTAGTATAGTGTTTATATTTCTTTTCTTGGAATATTTTAAGTTGTGGAGTTATAAAACATATTTAAGGTCCAAAATACTATTTATTAAGTTTGACAATGATATCTTTACATAATATGAATAAAGTGTCATGCTACTTGGACAGGGAAGCCCACCCCAGTCCAACTTGAAATTACTTGAGCTTTCATCGGGCAATTGAGATTTGGTTGCAAAATATAGTTCATTCATCTTTTAGGTTAAGCATCAGCAAGGGTTTGTCTCAGGCCAGCCTTGCTCCATGTGTAGCCTTACCAAAATTATGGTAAAATACATTTTATCTAGCAAGAGTTAGATCACTAATTTGTGAATATTAAGAAAATAATACTTATGTCAAATTCTTTATATCCATTATATGAAATTATTCAATCACATATAGTCATATGTCTATTTTTAAAATATTAGCATTTAATTATAAATACTTATGAAACAAAACAGGACAAATAGTCATATGTGATTGAATAACTTAACATAATGAATATTAGGAACTTACCTAAGAACCTCCTATCTCACACAGCTCAAAAACGCTACTCCCTTCGTCCTTTTTATAAGGGAGAACTATCATCTTCTTTTTGTTTCTATATATAAGCAATATTTGCAAGTTGTCTTAAATTTTGTAGCAAATTTCCTATTTTGTCCCTGTTAAAAATGTATTTTAATAGTTAATTTATTAATTTTTTTGCCTAAATATCATTTCCTAGATTGTCTTAAGATGGTAGTTTAATATAATCTCTCTCCGTCACGCACTCTCTCTGTTTCATATTAATTTTTTATTCTCTTTTTTATACTCTATCCTTCATAAATAAGGATACTTTAGAGAAAAAAATTCCAATTTTTCCATATTTATTATTTTAATCAATTTTAACTAATATTTTGATTTACGTGATTTAGTCTTAGGTTGCTTACAAAAAGGAACGAAGGGAGTATTAACAAATATATATATATATATACTCCTCTCGTCTTATTTATAAGGTACTTCTAATATATTTCACACAAATTAAGAAAAACCTTAAAATGTATTAACTCTCCATTAAAATATAATAATTTTTTTAACTTTATCCATATTTAATATTACACATTTCAAAAATGATAACTGCTTATACCATAATAAATAAAGGACAAAATAGTACATTCACATTGAAAATTTATGAAGTGACTTATAAATAGGACAAAAAAAATCTCCTCTTTCTATCCTATAAATAGGACTAGAGGAGTATATATTATTCAGTTTTAGAATTGGGTATACTATAAGAAACTCCCATCTTTCGAAATATTATATAACTAATTTCATTAAAGCCATGAAGTGAAATTGATAACGTCATGTAAAGCAAAAAAATAAAAAGAAATTGATAAAGTCATGATATTTTTTTCCCCATAAAGTTGGTTCCACAACAAACAACATCACAACTGGATTGTGTGTGTGTGTGTGCGCGCGCGCATGTATATGTATGTGTGTGGGTGTACGATTTGATTCAAAAAGAACCAAAACCACACTTAAAACTACGCATTATTTCGTTATTCATAACATGATACTCCTCCGGTCCTAATTATAAGACCCAATTGACTTATTTGAGGAGATTAAGGAAGTAAGTTAAGTTGGTTATTTATAATAAATAAATGTTGTCATTCCTAAAATATCCTTGCTAATTAAGTATATTGGCTAAAACTATCATTATTAGAAGGATTATCTTGAAAAAAAATGCATAAATATAAAGATAAAATGGATTGGGTCTTATAATTAGGACCAAATAAAAAGTCAAATGGGGTCTTATAATAAGGACCGGAGGAGTATAATAATATCAAAATAAGATTATATACGTACTTTTTGAATTTTTGTAGCCACAAAGATATAGGATTAAATAGTTTAGATCACCATGATTAATTCAATCGGATCAGAATCATTCATCAGAATCAAATGTATTGCGTCAAGCATCATCTCCATTATTAACTGCAATAATGAATTATTATATGGCCATCAAGAAAACAACAATTGCAGAGTCAATGTCATAACATTAAAAAAAAAAAAAAAACACCACCATTAATTAACCAAAAAGAAAAAACGAGAGGTTAATTACATGGCATAATTATTGAATCAACACAACCACTTGGTCCAATTCATCTCCATTGTCAAGTATATAGCTGCATAAAAGGCTGCCAATCAGATCCCACTTGTAATCTCAGTACAGATGCTTTCCCCTTTTAAATTAAGAAAATTTGTTGTACTCTCCTCTTTGTTTCTTCTTCATCATCAAAAGATAAGATGAACATTCCCAGAAAATAAGACATATAAGCATGAACACATGCATATTCTACATGAGAATATGTAAGGAATCTATTGTCCCAGTCACTTAACGAACGCTTCTTCTTCATCTTCTCACCAAGTAACGTAAAAGCCATTTCCAACAATCCCATACCTCTGACTCATGATCGTCGTAGATCAGCGCCGCCATGTCTGCAACATCCACAGCGCAAGCCACTCGGAGGCCATAGTCCCTCTTGAGTTTTTCTGCTTTGTTTTCTTTCGCTGCGGCGCCGGCGAAGGTGATTCTTTCGTCGTTGAGGAATCGGACTAGCTCGATAGGCATTGCATCGGCGTACATAATCTGGAAATGAGGCAGCGATCGTTGACGCAGAGTTGCATGACGGCGATGGGGTGGGTGATTCCGGCGATGGAACTCGGAAGCGATTTGCAGTCGAGGCCGACGACCAGTCCGTCGTCGGCAATATCATGACGGTAGAGATAGTAGATATCAGAGATCCATCGGTCAACACATAAACAAGACGCTGTGACTAGGGTTTGAATAAGTTCTCCATCGAAGTGAACAGAGTAGTAAAACTCAGAATAGGGATCAGAAGGAGAAGAAGCCATTGCTTAGCTTTTTTCTGCTCGTAATCGTCGGAGAATAATATTAGAATTAGAATTAGAACTATATATGGTTTGATAATTGTGCTCATTTAATTAAAAGCGGTTTTGTAATTTTTTTTTAAAAAATTAATTATAGTCAGTGACTTATTGATAAATATTGTGGAAGTGAAAAATAATCTAAGCTAGATATATATCTTATTTCATTGGAAGTAAATAAATCTAAAATAAATTAGAAAGGATTATAAATAAACTCATAAAATCCTAATCCTAATTTGAAAATATCTTTATTCGGATAAATACCCTAATAAAATAAACCTAAATATCTTAAATAATTCTTAATTAATTGTTATCCTATGTTCCATCCCATTGTTCTATGTTTTTTTTGTTGGATACAACTCATTGTTTTGTGTTGCTTTATACTCCTCTTGTGTCGCACAAAGAAAAGAAAAGATATTTTTTAATTTTTGTCATATTTATGGATACTAAGATAACTTTTTTATATGGATGTAATTATACTCTTCATTTATTATTGTGTAGGCTTTGTTTACATAAAATATAACGTATATTAAATAAGAATAAAGTTAAAAATTATTAAATTTTAGATGAGAGTTAACAAAGTCTAGAGTCTTTTTTGTCTATATTGAAAATAATTTATAAATAGGATTAAAGGAGTATAAGCTATTGGTATTTTCTTTTAAAAAAAGCTAATATAATGTTTCGTTCTTATAATTTATTTTTATTTTGAGTTTAGTTCTTATAATTTTAAATCATAGATTTTGGCTCTCAAGTTTTTTCTGCATCTAAAATATTAGTTCTTATATTTTAATAAAAAACTAAACCATCTTGTTTTTTTGAAAAGCCAAAACTTATAATTTGAAACTATAACAATCAAACGAAAATAAAGACAAAGAATAAAGAATCAAATACTATATTATTTCAGATCGATCGGTTTGTGAATCAGAGAGTATAAAAGGAGGTTCACGTAACGATGGGATGCTGTTGTATTATAAAATCTGATTATATTTAGTTAAATATATAATGTTATATCTGAAAATCGAAATGCGGTTTGTATTTTGTTTCTCAAAATTTTCTTGTTTTTCAAGATAAAAATATGTAAATCGCAATTTGATTTACATGACGAAATTAATATTTTGAAAAATTAATAATTACAGGGGTAATCTTCGATTGTTTTTTCAAACGATTCTCTGCCTCTCTAGTTTGTACGAAATTTTAAATTTGCACCCATTCGTCAGCTTTTTTTTCTTGACCCTGCATAGAAAGAACCGTTCTAAAACAGATCCATACAGCTTATCAACAAAAAAAAAAACATACATACATACGCAGATATTAATATATGTTTCAATATATTCAACCATATACCCTTGAAAAATCAACAATATATGAAACTAAAATTTTTGAAACTGTTAAATATTACCTCCAGTGCTTAATATAAGAACTAGTTGACTAATTTAATTAAATTAAAAAAATTTGTTAAGATAGTTATTTATAATAAATATGTGTTATTTTTCAATATCCTTGCTAGTTGCTACTCATATATATTAGTTATAACTACCATTTGATGAAGTCTTTAACATGTGTAATTACTATAATGACTAGTTTAAAAAAATAGATAAATATAAGATACAAAGTGGATTGAGGTTTTATATTTGTGATCAAATTAAAAGTTAAAATAGCTTATTAAAAACAGGAGATAGTATTTATTTGTTATATACATATTTAGAGATATATATATATATATATATATATAGATATATGATATGAAGCCTGGTTCAATCATATTAATTAATAATTTAATACCAACAATTTTCCTGCAACATTTCTTTCGGATATAGAATACTTTCCAATCCTTGACAAAACAGTTATTTGATTTATTTTAATAAATTGAAAAAAAATTAAATAAACTATTTAATTATAACAAACTGTGATATGATCTTCTTACGATACTCATTAGGTTATATATACTAGTTTATAAAATTGATAAATTGATTTTAAAAAATGATAAGGAAAAATCACAAAAAAGACCTTCGAAATAAAAAATTGCAAATAGGAACTAATGACAACATTACTATGGGTTTTAATTACAATTTTTATGAAAGGGTCCCCGTGTGTAATTTTTTAATTTCTAAAATTCTTTTTTGTGATTTTGTGATAAATATAAAAATAAATTAGATTACGTCACTATATATGGGATCAACACTATAAACAAAGTCCTCCATTTAATACAGAAAAAGGATAACACCATCCTTCTTATAAAAAGAAAAACACATAACATAATTTTTTTGGCTAAATATAGGTTTTTTTTTTATTAGAGACAATTCTATTCACTGAGTTCAGATTTTTTTTTTTTGAAAAAAAAATTGTGTCTTCACCAAAGAATTAATGAAGCAAAGCTCGTGAACATTGACCACACTCATATGATCATTCACTTGCGTTGAGATTGCTTGATGGGGACGGCGGGAAAAGATACACGTACAACTGAAGTCAATGAGTTACATGCGATGGAAATAAATTATTATCACTTGATTTTTCTGGATCCTATCACAACATTTTCAGGCAATCGACTAATTTGGGAGATCAGTTTCGGTGCTCATCACCTTGATGAGCATTCTAAACTCATTAAATTTTGACCATTTATATATAATTTGAACGGTTCAAATTTAAAATATTTAATTAATTATTTTTAAATTGGAAAACTATTTTTTGAAAAAATAATAGTTAATAGATTATCTCTATCTTAAATTCTATACATATTAAAATAATTATTTTGAATAAATAAAAAAAAAAGAAACCAAGTCCGAACCATTCAAATGAGATATGAATAATCAAAATCTTATGAGTTTAAAATGCTCATCAAAATGATGAGCACCAAAACTGGTTTCCTAATTTGGGACGGCAACTAATCCGACCTGGGTTAGTGGCTGCCTTTGTTAACATAAATTCCATTTTTAAGACCTAAATTTAAGACCCAAAGGACCTGCTAAACCAACTCTCTGTTGGTTCCGTTTTTCTTTCTTCAATCAGGCTTAGCAAGAAAGGATTGATTGGGATGAAATGATAGAATGGAGATGGGGATATTGTCACAGTGTCCAGAAGAGAGATGAGTGTGAGAGACGATGCGAACCTGTGGCCGTCACCGGAGGAGCAAGATGCTATTGAGCTTAGTTGGAAAAAGGTTTCGGCTGGTGAAGGTCGGTTCACAAATGAGCAAGCATTGGTTCCACGTGATGAGGACTGGATGCATGCTACAGGGCAAGGGAGTGTGGAGACGATGAGTTCGGTGGATGGGGTCAACCTTGGTGGTGCGAAATGGAAGTCCTTCAAACATGCGGTGACGCATGAGAAAGACGACAAGGAGGTAGAGAAGGATTGGTGGAGCAACAACCGTTGGAAAGAACGCATAAAAGTTGAGAAGACACCCAAGGGTCCTAATGTCATTATACCCCAACAGGAGATGGATAGATTGGTGAGGAGATGGGAGAAGGTGTTAATTGTCAAGTTGTTGGGTAGAATGATCCACCCAGAACTCATGGAGTCAAAAGTGCAAAAGGTGTGGGCAAGAATGGGGGACGTCACAGCTATAGATGTGGGATCAGGCTTCTTTGTGGTGCGGTTCACACACAAGGAAGACTATGACATTGCACTAACAAGTGGACCATGGCTACCCTATGATCACTATTTGGCCATGCAACCTTAGAAGCAAGTGTTTGATCCTAAGGGCGGGAGATAAACAAGATTGCTGCATGGATTCGTATCTCCAAACTCTCCCTAGACTTTTATGATATAGGGATTTCACATGTGCTAGGGTCGCAAGTGGGAGGAGTTCTGAAAGTTGATAAAACCACTCTTGGCAGGAAAAAAGGGAAGATTTGCTCGTATATGCGTCAAACTTGACTTGTCTGCACTGTTATGTCCTATGATCCTTGTTAATGGGAGAGAGTCCAAGATTCAGTACAAGAGCATCTACCTCATTTGCCTTAGATGTGGAAGTTATAGGCATGATGCGGACCATTGCCCTAGTGGAATGATTGATGCGAGAAATGAAAACACCACTAGGGGTGACGTGGCAGAGTTGACAAAACAGAGCGACGATATGATGGGAGAAGGGGAGGAGGGAAGAAGCACGACGAAAAAGGAGACCCCTATTGTTACTCCCTTCGAGAGCTGGATGGTGGTAGAACAGACTCGACGGTTCCGACAACTGAATCAGAACGTCAACAAAGAGAGCGATTCTGTGTGAGAGTTCACTACTAGAAAAAAGACTTTTAACGTCGCAAACTATCGGCGGTCAGCAGAAAAACGAAGTGGAAAAAAACGGTGGCATTTTTGTAAATAAGTTGAAGAGGGTATGACTTTCCACGGCGGTTTTTAAGAAAACCGCCATGGAAAGTGTGTCTTCAAACCCCACGGCCGCTCGACTCTCTTCACTTTCTTTCTCATTTCTTCCAGTGCGCTGTGGTCCCCCTCTGCCCCACCACCGTAAAACTGCTATTACCGGCCATTCCCGCCACTATCCCACCGTTTAAACTCCTCTATTGAGCTCTTGGAGCCTTGCCGCTGTGCGCCGCAGTCCACCGTGGTCGACCGCCTCCCATTTCCGTCCGTTCTTGCTCAGCCGTGGTCCACCACCGAAAACCGGTCCTACCCCCACTATCTAACCGAAAACCGGTGCGTTGCCGCCGTCCGCCGCCACCTCACTTTCGCGTTTGAAGCTTCTCTCTCTGTGAGTATCCTCTTCTTTCATTCTTTTCAATTTTTCTTGGTTTGTTGAATGTTTTAGCCATGAAAATCTGTTATATATGAAATGAGGTTGTTAGTTTTACATTGTGGTTGGCTTCTATTGTTCATTTTGCATTTTTTATGTGGTTGAACCATTGATTGGTGTTAATTGGTAGGCATTAGATGTGAGAAAACCTTAATTCCTTTTTATATACTGTATTAGAAATATGTTTAAATGTTTGGAGTTGATTAGTTGTGAAGTTTTT